AAAAAACTTCAGACATCACTAGAATGTAGGTACCATGAAAGCCAGGATTTTGGTACATTTGTCACTATTGCATCTAAATGCCTAGAATAGTGTCTTGTTGATTCTTTATTGAATGAATCAATACTTTAAAGTTTACATTGAACCTAACTGCTTTTTTGTTTACCTAGTTTTAGCCTGTTCATTTGGGACTGTATTCCCCAGAAACATTGTTTCAAATTCTCTAAATTTTAAGAACCCAAATCCTAGTTTCACCTTTTTGTCTCTCCTTCAGCTTTTCTCTCCTTTCACTTTATTGAGGTCAGAGCCATTTGTTGAACCTTACTGTCTTTTCACTTACAAAATTTATAAGGCTTCAGCCACTCTCCTTGCCACTTTACTTGGCAGAGAAAATTTCCTTCTCTCCAATGCTAATACTTTGTCTTTATTAGAAGTATTAGAAATTATATTGTTCTCTTCATATCATCACCTCCTTCCTTTCCTTCTGGAACCTGTCATCCATCTCTTTATACCATAGTCACTCCCTTTCCAACAAGTATAGAGCTGATTCACAAAACAGCAAGTTCTGTCTTGGAGCTTAAAACATCTTTTGTCTTTCCTTCCTTCTAGTTAAACATCTCTGAAAAGGTTTCCCATCTACTTATGACTATTCATATTTCCTTGTTAGCTACTCACTGTTTAGCACCTCAAGTTTTGGACCGAACACATGAATTCTTGAACTGTTATGACTTTCTCCTGCATTCTTAAGGCTTTTCCATTTCTTCATTTATTACTCTAACAAACATTTGAGCATCTCTTATTATCAGGCATGTTTCAAGGTGGTAGAGATACTGCAGTGAATAAAATAGACAAAAACCTTTGGCCTTATGGATATTACATCCTTAAGGAAGAAACACATATTAAATATTGTAGGTGTGTGTTGTGTATTTACTATAATAGTAAGTACAAGAAGAAAAATAAAACAGAAGGAGGATAGGCAGTTTTACAGTGGAGGAGTCTGCTATTTTAGATCATGCTGAGAGAATTTTCACTGGTGAGATGGTTTTCAAGTAAAGGCCTGAAGGAGGTGAGAGAGAGTGAGTTCATCTGGGGGATGAACATTCTAAGTAGAGAGAGGAGTAAAGGCAAATTCCCCGTGTGCCTGATGTTTTTGAATATGAATGAGGAAGATAGTCCTCATCTTTCTTGAGCTAACAGTGGCATTTGACATTCTTGACTGCCGTCTGCCTTTTGAAGGGTTCTTTGTTTCTTTGGAGATCTCTGGTATTCTATAGAGACTAACCTGGTCTGGTTTTGACCTCCATCTCTTTCACTGGTTTCTTCTTTTCATTGTTTTTGCCTTTTTATCCTTTTTTCCATAGGGATCTTTTTGTTTTTTCCTCTTTTTTTCCTGTGCACATTGTATATTGCCAGACTGCATTCTTAAAATGTGCCTCTGTTTATCAGACATCTCAACTTGTGTATCACAAGGGACCAAAAATTTCACATTTGACAACTAAATAGTTTGTTGCCCTACCTGCCTCTTACCCAGAGCCCTAATTCTCACCTCCCTTTCTATTTTCCATGTCCATTTGTTTGGCTTACCTACTCAAATTGTTGTCTAATTTAGGGAACTCAGTTATCTGTGACCATGTTATTCTTCACCCACCACTTCTAACTGGTCATCTTATCGAACTCTTTATCCTCTGTGCTCCAATCCTTTTCAGCCATATCCCTGCCATAGTAAACATATTCCAAACTTCTGTGTCTTTGTGCATACCATGGCTTGTGTCTAGAATATTCTTAACACTCTTCAGAATTAAGCTCAAATGTTATCTTCTATGCAAAGAAGATGGTTTCTCTACATCCCCACTCATTAATTATGTCTTCCATTGTGTACATATCTCTTGTAAGCCCTCTACAGTGATACTGATATAATGAGTATCTTCCTAACTTGTAAGCTCCTTGAAGACCTCAGCTAAATCTTATTAATCAGTATACATAATATTTTCCTGTATTTTGTTGTGTTAGGCCCCAGCATAGCAAAGAGAGTAGATAGAGAAATGCATTTGGACTAAAAGTACTGCATTACAACATATTGAACATGAGGGAAAAACATTGAAAATTCCAAAGATACGTGTGCCTTCATCAGTAACATTCATATAGTATATACATAATACCAAAATCTTGGAGAGCAGCTAGAATGAACATTTTGTTAATGTTTGCCTGAGTCCTGAGTGCTTTCATTCTACTCATTCATTGCTACAATGGTAGACAGTCCTGTTCGCAGACAGATGTCGGGCCCGCATAATGAGGGCCTATAGGCAGGCTGAACTTGTCTAGGCTGAGGGTGAAGAACAACTGCTTTAGATCAATCTTAAAATTTCAATTCTTTGTTATTTAATTTATTGCAGGTGTTTACTTTGAATAGCAGTGTATTTTTCCTGCTAGTTTTGTTTCTAAATTCAGAAACTTTGTTGTTGGTGGTGTTTTAATTACTAATACACGTTTCTCATAAGATTATGAGGGAAAAATTAAGCAACTAAAACATTTAAGGGAACTAAAAACTACTCTTTAGTAAACTTATAGGGATTCTGGAATAGCAAAGAAGCAGACAGTTGAGGGGAAGGAGAAACAAGTGATTTTAAAAAGATATATTTACTGTTTTAAAAAGGTTAAATATAAAGTCTTTCATTAGTTTCACAAAATGTATCTTCCTCATTTGGAAAGCAGCCTCTTACGCTTTGAAAGGAATGAGCAAGTTAAAATAATAGGGAGACAAATACATTTTTGACAAAAATTACTTTTTTGAGATTTTAATGATGTTAAAAGTGGTAATCTTATTCATTTTCCTTCTTTTAAATCACTGCCCGGATTATGTAAGACTCTTTTGCAAATTTCTGAAGCATTTTAAGGATGTTTATGATATTTTAATGAACAGCCTGTAGTTTGCTTTCTTCAAGTGGCTACATAGGAAGAGCAGCCGCGTTAGTCACTGTTCTTCTCACGTTCCAGTGCTCTTTTTGAGCTGGGGAGAAATATTGTGGCTAAAAATTACAATAAACCCAATTGTTAACAAAAAATGTATATCCTTCATATAAATGACCAGTTTCAAAATGTTGACTGCATATCTTCTACTGCCAGACTGAGAGATCATTTATCCTGTTTATATGAGGAGAGGGCACAGGTGACTTACAGTGTCAGCTCTCAGAATGAGCAGAAGGTTGGGCGGGTGAGGTGGAGACAAGTGGAATCAAATTGTAGTTGAAACTGGTGAAAGGTGAGACGTGTAGTGTCTCTAGAAGGCTGGTGGCATTCTAAATGTAGAGGCTCACAAGATGTATTAAATCTTAACACATCAAAAAATGCCATGTGCACTCAGAAATCCCCTTTGACACCTATGGGAACAAACTTAAAAATGTTGTTTGCTTGCAATCAGTTTGCTGAGTTAATAGGTTTTAACATTTTCTCAACCTTTCATATGCTATATCTTTTTTAGTGGTTAGTGAACTCCTCCTTTATATTAATTTGAACTTAGATCAAAACATGGGCCGGGCGCGGTGGCTCAAGCCTGTAATCCCAGCACTTTGGGAGGCCGAGACGGGCGGATCACGAGGTCAGGAGATCGAGACCATCCTGACTAACACGGTGAAACCCCATCTCTACTAAAAAATACAAAAAACTAGCCGGGCGCGGTGGTGGGCGCCTGTAGTCCCAGCTACTCGTGAGGCTGAGGCAGGAGAATGGCGGGAACCCGGGAGGCGGAGCTTGCAGTGAGCCGAGAGAGCGCCACTGCGCTCCAGCCTGGGGCACAGAGCCGAGACTCCGTCTCAAAAAAAAAAAAAAAAAAAACATGGAATGAGGTGAAAAAATGGCATTATAATTATGTTCTTGCCTTCTTGAAGCTCGTGTTCTTATAAAACATTGTCACGTGAACCTAAAGTGCCCTAAGGTGGTTTTGACTTGGTGTCCTGATTGTTTTCTGACTCAGACTCGACCTTTCCTTTTATAAGGGCTAGTGAACATAACAGGTGACAGAGACTGTAGGATGAGCATTCTTTTTACAGTTATATGAGTGAGCATGTTTGGAAGGCAGAGTGAGTTGGCTCATGGGCCTAAAGCTTTTTAGAATCTGGAAATAGCATGAAGTGGAATGCCAACGTGCTCTTTGATGTAGCAGCTCAGTTTTGCCTCACACAGTATGCATTAATTGAGTTTGCTTTACCAGTAACTTAATTACTAGCAGGCAAAATGGACTTCTGCAAGTGTTTGTCTTCAAGAGTGCCTGATGCTATCCATGGTTTGCATTAACATTATGTATCAGGACTTCCTGTTTTACCAGGAAGGGGTCACAAGTGGGCTCTTTCTCTGAAGTACCATGTTACTGTCTTTTCCTCATCTTCTTGAATAATGTTACATATTGTGCCAGCTTTATAGGTTAACACAATGCTGAAATGATGAGGCCTGTTGAGGTGTTATTATCTCAAGTACCAGTAATTTGAATACTCTCCTTTAGCTCTGTCATAATAAAGGCTAAATTTAAATACACATGTTTACTGTGGTCTCTTCTCTCTCCGTATTTACCTTTCATGTCATTTTTGTACCCTAACCTCCAGTCATATTAAACTCCCTTAGGAGCTGATACCCCACTAAACACACACACAGATGCATAAGTATCACATAGTCACTTTTTCTGTCCCCTTCAAAGAGTGCACTGCCTCTAGGAAGCATCCCCCAAGTTACCTTCTGTGTTCTCACTTCCACCAAGTCTGGACTAGTTACTCCTGTTCTGGGTTCCCATGTGTGGGGTACTTCTGCCCTCATGACATTTACCATGTAGCTTTTTAAAGGTCATGCTTACCGTGCCCTTCAGTAGATTGTGAACTGCCCAAAGGAACAGAAGCCATTAGTCTTATTCACAAATGTATCCCTGGTGTCTACACAGAGTCTGTTTTGTAATAGCTTATCAGTCTGTTTTATTATTTAAATAATGATGCTTATTATTGTCTATTTTGTTTTCAAAGATTCGCCAAAGTGAGGACAAAAGGAACCATGCTGAGAAGTCAGTCACTCCTCCAGTGCAGGAAGATCCCAAAAAGGCATATGATGTTTCCAGTTCCACTGCAGATACCAAAATAGGAGAAAGTGACAGACAGCCAAGAGAAAGCTTTTTTCAGTTTCTTGGTAACTTATTCAATATTTCGGGAAAATCATCTCTAGGTGAAGCTAAGCAGTCTTCTTTCAGAGATGACCATGATAAAGCTGAGAAAGATTTACAGAATCCCAGTGACCATCATGAAGAAGGGATCAAAAGGGAGAGAGAGATTTTCAGTGGCTCCCTAAGAACCCAGACACATCCAACAGAAGAACAGGACTCCAACTCATCCGAACTCTCAGATGCTTTTTCTTTGGATACAACACAAGACAGTGAACAAGAAGCCACTAATTTGCTAAAGTAAGTTTAAAATTTAATCGAATCAAAAAATCGAGCTTTTTGGATCTCGCTTTTCAGCTTTAGTTTTAATCCTAGTAATTGGTGGGATTGGAAGAGATATTCTGTAGTGTCCCTACTACTGGGTAAAAAACTTTATGATTCTCTGTACCATACAAGTAATTAATCATGGTACAGAGAACCATACAGGTAATCCAGGGCCTGCTAAATTTGTCTTAGTAAAAGATTTATTTTTTCCCTGCATGGTAATGTTTTCTGTTGCATGAATTCCTCCTGTGTCAGGACAGGCAACGTATTCAATATGTGCATTTTGAGGGAAAATGGTCCTCAGGTTTGTATTCTTACTCTGTCAATATCTTTATTCTGTAAAATTTAATTAAAGCAGTTAAGAAAAGCAATTTAAATGGGCTCTATTCATGAAACTAGCTTTATGAACCTTTACAGAGCTCCAAGAAACTAAAATATTGCTTGAATTGAAGGAACATTTTACCACCACTTTCTTCATTGTTTGATTAGCAAACACACACCAACCTGTTTTTCCTTTTACTCTCAAATGAGGTAGAAGGAATATTTTGTAATTAAGGAATGTTTATCACATTGTTGAGTCCATTCGATATTTTGTGTGACATAAAAGTATTCATTTGTAAGTAGTAAGGTTTTGTTTTATTGATTTTACTTTTACCTCTGCTCGAGAATTTATTATTGAAGAAGCCATCAATAATATTATAGTCAGATATAAGCATTACCTTATAGTTATGCAGTTCTTTTTAGTTTCCAGGAAGTTCTTTATAGTTTCCAGGTGTCTTTATGTAGGTGCTTTCAGTTAATTCCTCATAGTAAACTTATGATACAGGCACAGACCTATCTTATAGCTCTGTGAAAATAGATTAGAGTTTGTCTATGAAGAATAATGTTGTGGGGCTTGTTCCACCTGATGTTAAAATGTATTGATACAGCTGTGGTATTTGAAACAGTGTCATACTGATGTAATATTTGCTAGACATTTAAATTGAACAGAGTAGACAGCCTAGAAATAGACTCTTTTATATGTAACTTGAACCCTAGAATGTGATGTCATTATGTGTTCCTCATCTTTGTATTAAAGTAAATGAAGATAGAGTAACAAATATTAAAAACAATAAAAATGTTAAAAGCAGCATTTGTACATTTTTACTTTGGTAAGAAATGACTTTCTAAGCATAATAGCAATGGAAGGTATCAATAAGAAGATCAGTAGATTAAAACTTATTCCCAATTTTCAAACTCTTTTATGTCAAGTAACATAAACAATAATAAATTTAAATGGAAAATGAGAAAATTATACACAAAAAAATGACAGAGAATGCTTTAACTGATAAGCAATTTAGACACCAACTAACCAATAGAAAAGGCAAACAATATAAACAAATCTTTCAAATAAAAGAAGTCTAATCTGTTAATAAGTGAAAAAAGTTTATTTTCACTAACAATCAAGGAAATGCAGGCCAGGTGCGGTGGCTCAAGCCTGTAATTCCAGCACTTTGGGAGGCCGAGATGGGCGGATCACAAGGTCAGGAGATCGAGACCATCCTGGCTAACATGGTGAAACCCCGTCTCTACTAAAAAATACAAAAAACTAGCCGGGCGAGGTGGCGGCGCCTGTAGTCCCAGCTACTCAGGAGGCTGAGGCAGGAGAATGGCGTAAACCCAGGAGGTGGAGCTTGCAGTGAGCTGAGATCCGGCCACTGCACTCCAGCCTGGGCGACAGAGCGAGACTCTGTCTCAAAACAAAAACAAAAACAAAAACAAAAAACAAGGAAATACAAACTAAAATGAGAATTTTTCCCCATTAAATTGATAACAATAATAATAAATGATAATGTCCTGAGTGAGTCAGAGTTGATAAGGCTGGCACTCATATACCCTGCTAGGAGTGGAGTACAAATTGGTAGCATTTTTTAGAAATTCAATTGGCAATATATATCAGGAACCTTAAGTTTGTAAGTTATTTCTGATAATGTACAAAGGTGTTCATTCTAACATTATAGGAAGGTATATTTGGAAACCAATATCCAACAGCAGAAAAGTGGCTCAATTGTGCTGCATCCATAATATGTGAATACGATTGTCTAAAGCAGTACTATTCAAAGTGTGGTCCTTGGAGCAGCAGCAGCAGAATCACCTGGGACCTCATTAGAAGTGCACATTATCTGATCAGATCCACTGAAGCAGAATCTCTGCAGGAGTGGGGCCCAGCAATATTCTTACTGCCTCTTTAGATGATTGTTTTGCTTGCTTTGACATCTAGCATTTTAAAGTAACTTAAAATGGTGATAATTTGGAGGTTGTTATAGGAATTGGGTAGAATGGGAAGTTTGTACTTTTTCTCCTTTGATTAGTTAGGTCAGATTTTTTTTCGTTGGTACTAGTCGATTAAAAAGAGAGAAGATACTTTTCCTCTTATTTTTACCAAATAATAACTTGTTAGTAGACTAATTCCTTGTTAATAGAATAATTGCTTAAGGCAGTTCTCCAAAATCTCCTCAACAAAGAATGGTGGTTCTTGATTTAGGAGGAAAGGGAAAACCTCCTGACTGCCAGTTTGACTGAGATGCCAGCTTCCTTCAGGCCTAGCTTTGAAAATCTCATAGTTTACCAGGCGTAGAATTACAGTTTCAACAACTTCCTCCTGACAGCTGTCAATATGCTTAAGAATTATAATTTAGGCCAGGCGTGGTGACTCATGCCTTTAATCTCAGCACTTGGGAGGTCGAGACAGGCGGATCACCTGAGGTCGAGAGTTCGAGACCAGCCTGACCAACATGGAGAAACCCCGTCTCTACTTAAAATAAAAAATTTGCCTGGTGTGGTGGTGCATGTCTGTGATCTCAGCTACTTGGGAGGCTGAGGCAGGAAAATCACTTGAAACCAGGAGGCTGAGGTTCTCATGCCATTCTCCTGCCTCAGCCTCCTGAGCAGCTGGGACCACAGGCGCCTGCCACCACGCCTGGCTAATTCTTTGTATTTTCGGTAGAGACAGGGTTTCACCATGCTAGGCAGGGTGGCCTCGATCTCCTGACCTTGTGATCCGCCCGCCTCAGCCTCCCAAAGTGCTGGGATTACAGGTGTGAGCCAATGTGCCCGGTCAATATATGTAGAGAATCCTTTACTATTAATGATAATTTTGAGAATCTGTATTTTATTTTAAAGTTGTTTTGGCTCTGATATGAATTATTAAGAGCAATGATATATTTAAGTTTTTTATTCATGATCATGAGTATATCTCAAATATAAAACGTTATTTAAAGAGCTTATAGGGAGAGGATGATTAATGGATATAAAATTACAGCTAGGTCTACATAGGAGGAATAAGTTCTAATGTTCTGTAGTACTGTAGGATGACTATAGTTAACAATAATTGATCGTATATTATCAAACAGCTAGCAGAAAGGACTAAATGTTCACAACACAAATGATAAATGCTTGTGATGGATATGCTGATTTCTCTGAATTGATTATTGCACAGTGTATACCTGTATCAAAATATCAGTCTGTACGCCATAAGTATGTACAATTATTACATATCAATTAATAAAAGAGTTTATGCTTTTGAAATTACTAGGAGATTTCAGTGTCACATACAAACATTTCAATTTTTTGATATTAGGAGGAATGAGTTAACTTAAATTTTTTCATTGTCTTTTTCATGGACGAATGCTACTACTTTAAAAAAATAAATCAAGGCTTATTAAAAAGGGTTAATAGCTTAAACAAGATAATAAAACATCCTATACTGCATAACAGATGCTCATTACTATGCTATCAAACATAATTTTCCTTATTACCATTAATACAGCTTTCAGAATTTAGACAAGTTATTACAAGTTAAGTATCCCTTATCTAAAATGCTTGGGACCAGAAGTGTTTTAGATTTTCAATATTTTTTCAGATTTTAGATTTTTTTGTGTTGGGGGGGTGTTTGCATAGGCATAATGAGAAATCTTGGGGATGGGATCTAAGCCTAAACACAAAATTCATTTATGTTTCATTTACATCTCATACACATGATTTAGGGGCATGAAGCAAAATTTGCTCCTGAAAGTTTGCACCCAGAAAGCAAAGGTGCTTGTTGATTTGTTTGCGTTATAGATTGTAGATATGAGACCTTTGTCAGATGCATATTTTGCAAATATTTTCTCCCATTCTGTAGGTTGTCTGTTTACTCTGTTGTTAGTTTCTTTTGCTGTGCTGAAACTCTTTAATTAGGTACCACTTGTCGATTTTTTTGTTGTTACAATTGCTTTTGGAGTCTGTCAGGAAGTCTTTGCCAAGGCCAGTGTCCAGAATGGTATTTTCTAGGTTTTATTCTAGGGTTTTTATAGTTTTAGGTTTTGTATTTAAGTTTTTAGTCCATCTCAAGTTGATTTTTGTATATGGTGAAAGGTAGGGGTCCAGTTTCAATCTTCTGCATATGGCTAGCCAGTTATCCAAAGGACATAAACAGACACTTCTCAAAAGAAGACACACACCTGGCCAACAAGCTTAAGAAAAAATCCTCAATATCACTAATCATTAGAGAAATGCAAATCAAAACCACAGAGAGATACCATCCTCTCACCAGATGGAATGACTATTACCAAAACATCAATAAACAACAGGCTGGTGAGGTTGTGGAGAAAAGGGAATCCTTATACCTTGCTGGTGGGAGTGTAAATTGGTTCAGCCATTGTGGCAAGAAGTGTGGTTACTCCTCAAAGAACTTAAAACAGAATTACCATTTGCCCCAGCAATCCCATTACTGGGTATATAACCAAAGGAATATAAATCATTCTACCATGAAGACACATGCATATGTCTGTTCATTGCAGCAATATTCACAATAGCTAAGACATGGAATCAACCTAGATGCCCATCAGTGGGGGACTGGATAAAGAAAATGTGGCGCAAAAACAGCAGGGAATACTACACAGCAAAAAACAGCAGGGAATACTACACAGCAAAAAACAGCAGGGAATACTACACAG